CCCCTGCATCGGCAGGCGGACTCCCAACCACTGCGCCACCAGGGAAGCCCTACTTGTGTCTTTTGAAACCACTCTGGCTTTTAAAATTAGAAACAATCACCTTTGGAAAAGAAAAGAATTGAAAGAGTTCTAAATTCAGTTGTTTCCACTACTCTAAATCATTGTCTAGCTTTATTTACTATACGTTCACATGCCTTTACAGTTTAGTGCATATGTAACTGATACTGTGTTCTGCTTGTTCCACTTAGTATTTTGTGTACACAGTCCTGTTGTAGTTTTTTAAGGCCTTTGGCTTCTCCCAATTTTTCATCATGTTCTACTGTAAATCTTTGTATAAATTACTTTTGTTCCTTCCCTTTCTGGGTTATTTTCTTGAGATATGTTCCCCAAAAGGGAGAGATTAGAGCATTTAGTCTGTCAGCAGATGATCTGCACATCTTGACACTTTTACAACGTTAGTCTGCTTTTTAGAAAGATGGAAATGGAGGAATGCTTTGCGGGGCAACTAGTGGGGTACCTGTTTCCTCTGAGCCATCCCTTTATTGATTTTATCATTTTAATTAACTTGATAGATGTCTAATGGTACCTTAAAGCTGACTTCATGATATTTCTTTCATTGCTAGCAAGGCTAGGCTCTCCCCCAAAAAGCAACCTAGTAACTAAACCTACCTGTGTGATCAGATTGGTTTTCACATAATGTTCTAGGTAAACATTGTTTTCATGGTTTTCACATCTACTCAACATTCACTCTGATTTTTAAAATATTTCTCCTGATATTTTCTCAGTTGTTTACTCAGCATTCATGCAGCAATTTCTTGTATACATCAGACACAGATACTTTATGTCCAGATAATGCACTAAGTCATTGATGATTTTTGATGATTTTTCATGTTTTAATTGTCAGAAGCCAAGACTTCCCCCACTTCGTTTGTGCTCTTGCATATCAGCTACTTTTTATCAAATGTGTGAGTGCTTACCATGTGCCACACAGAGGCTGCAGGGGCAAACAGAGCCAAGAGGATGCACCCTCTACAGAGCACACATAGGCAGCATCACCTTTAGAAGATAAGGAACTGTGGGGTAGAGAACTTAGAAAGATCACTGATGGCTGTCTGGTCCTTGTGAGGGAAGCCCACTGAGAATATGCATCAGAAGGTGGTCTGCACGTGTTTTGTGGGTTTTTTTTTTGGCTGCGGCCTGTGAGATCTTAGTTCCCCAACCAGGGATCGATCCCACGTGCCCTGCATTGGAAGCATGGAGTCTTAACCATTGGAACACCAGGGAAGTCCCTGGTCTATACCTTTTATAAGTCATTTTCAGCATAGGGTAGAGAAATTCATGTTTACCCTGTATAATGGCTCTCAGTGTAATTAGTGGAGTAAATCCTAATGACAAATCATGTATAGAAATACATAAAGATTGAATTGCCTTGAATTAGCCCAATTGAACCCAGTAGTAGCAATAGGAGGTGTAATAACTCTGATTTTCCTATTTTGAAATCTATCTTTAATCAAAAGGTGATATAAACCTTAAGGTTGATATGGTAAGTGTTCAGTTTACCGCAAATAGGTTAGCCGTTGGAATAAGACCAAATAGAACATAAAATCTTGGAATCATCAGAATGTCTACCTCTGTAAAGGCATTTTGAAATGTTGCTTATAATTATTCCAAATCCCCAAAAGTTGGATCATATTAAACCATAACTCGGAGCTTGAGAAAATGTATACAAAAACTAGATGCTTCAAAACTAGCTCTTTAAAAGGAAGGGACTAGGTTTTTTTAAATCTCTAGGTCCCAAGTACCTAGCTAATACGAAGCTTCAGTGTTGAATGAGTATTTGCCATTTATGTGTAGTCTTGGAAATTTAAATTATCAGGTCTTTTTTTTTTTTTTTTTAACAGCTTTTGGCTGATGCCATCATTTATGCTCAAAAAAATAGTTCTTGGAAACTTTTCATCTGGCCCAGTGGACCCTATGATGGCTGATGCCATTGATTTCATGGTGGACAGGGTAAGGATCATGGCCTTGGGGTGGGGACACCTTGTACTCGGAATTTTCATGTCTGCTTGGTTCCTGAAGGAATGCCTGTCTCACTGTGTACTGGAGGTATTTGTTAAGCGTTCTTCCATATTAACTTTACTACATCCAGACAGATAGATATTCCTG